AAGCTGTGTCAGTCGTGATGACTGATAGCATGGTCCAAGTAGAATAATTGGACGAGTTGACGGAACGACAGTGTATGGATTTGGATACTCCCAGATTTCGGCTTCTCTCGCTCTAAAACATTTTGCTTCAGTAAATGCAAGAAGAAGGGCTCAAAGCAAGTGGCAGCTGGGGTAGGACCGATTAACGGTACCCTTGAGAGAATGGGAGAAGCAGGAAGCTTGAGTGTCCACCTCTGTGCTGTGCCATGCATTCGGCACCAACTCCAAGTCGTAGAACCATTTGATGTTATTTTTGGCTTACACTTGGAACTATCATTGAAATAACGCAGACTTGAGAACTCGGACTCTTCAACCCTGTGATCTCTTGTGGGGCCCCTCCTAGCTCCCATTTGAATCGCTTGCACGCCTGAATGCCCTCATTAGGCTTCCCAGATCCTAACCACATTGTTTCCCACTTCACCCTCAAGAATGTCAGCACTTAAGCGCATCTCAAGAAAGCAGATGTGTGCTGTGGACAAAGGAGAACGACGCTCTTGTGGTAAGGTCAGTGGGTTACACCAAAACGATTCTCACCCACCAAAATGGTAAAACTACAGTGCGTTTCAAAAGTATAAAGCCACCCATGAAAACTAACTTTCCGAGTTAAGGTGAGTATTTCATGGCTTGCCATAAACTTTATTGAATTCAGCGTGTTTGGAAACCATTGTTCTCTTTATTTCAGGAAACAAAATGATTCACATACATTTTTATAAGAAGATTTCCAAATATCCCCTGTTTCAAAAGTATAAAGCCACTTGCAACATAACTCTATTTTTCCAGAGAAAAAGTGAACATCGTAAATATTAGTAACTAGCGTGACTTCCTTTTTTAGAAGTGAGATTTAATAGACCATTTGGCATACTATCCGTGAGCTTCAGAAGTATAGCGGGATTCAGGTGGTAGGAAAACGTCTCGATGGCTGTCTGAGGTCTCCCACGTTACTGTACTGCTTTCCATACGCGTATATCTGTCGGACAATGATACCCCAGGTGTTTTTTATTGGATTTGGATCTAGGCTGCTAGCAGGCCATTCCAGTACACTGATTTTGTTGACGTAAACCCGGTGTTGAGTGGACCGGCTGCGATGGATGGTGGCGTAATCGTGCATAAAGATGAAGTTTTGCCGACGACTTCCACACAGAAACGAGAGAAGATCATTAAGAAAAGCATCCTGATTCTCACTGGGGTCCATTTGACACGAGACGAAAGACAGAGGGAGCACAGCATCGCTGTAGAATGCAGCTCAGACCATCTATGCGCCACCACCGAAGTTCTCCTGCTAAATACCAGCGGATCTTTGCTAAAATCTCTCCAGAATCTGTGATGACCATCCGGCCCGTCTAAGTTGAAGTTCTTTCAACCACAGAAAATGAACTGAACACTACAAGCCATTACTTAAACGTCATGAAAAGTGCCTCCCTACCCCCGTAGAATAACCTACCGAACCCCAACTCGTTCGCATGTTCCTCCGGGCGAGTTCGAGACGAGGTGCTTTGTGATGCTGTTCCGGACGTGGAGTCTTCATCATGGATTGTCGCACGATATTTGGAGCAGAGTTAGCGACCCTCCAGATGGAACTTTTCGAAGCAAAAAGGGAGAGCTCGTATCGGATCTGACTGATGGTCGCAGTAGAATTGGAAAGGGATCGTTTAATATGGCGGATATAATACTCAAGCAGAACACGTGACCTTTCAGGGATCTTTCCTTTCATGATAAGCTGGATTCCTCAAAAGAAATGTCGATACAGCTTTGAGAACGTCCAAGTTGAGCAGCAATGGAGCGATTTGAATGGGCAGCTCGATGTAACGTCCTCGCACGAACTTGCTCTTCCAAAGAAAACGTAGATCCACGAGATATATTGAAGACGGTATGTTTTTTTTTTTTTTTTTTTTTTTTTTTTTTTTTTTTTTTTTTTTTTTTTTTTTTTTTTTTTTTTTTTTTTTTTTTTTTTTTTTTTTTTTTTTTTTTTTTTTTTTTTTTTTTTTTTTTTTTTTTTTTTTTTTTTTTTTTTTTTTTTTTTTTTTAATTATTTAAAAAATCCCATGAGTTAACAGGAACAAAAATTTTTACCGCTGTTGCCTACTCGCCCGGGGTGGCTTTATACTTTTGAAACAGGGGAGTTTTTCAAATTTTCTTATGGAACCGTTTCTAGCTTATAGTGGTTTGTACAACAAAGTTTACTATAGTTTCAGAGCGTGCTGAATTCGATAAACTATTCATCAAATCACGGAACCTTCATTCTAACTTGGAACAGCTTCATTCAAGGGTGGCTTTATACTTTTGAAACGCACTGTACTACAATAAAAGCTGGATTAACTGATGTATGAAAGGAACGCATTTTTCCATAGTGGTTAAATGCAAGCCTCGGGATAAAACTGGTGATAAGAGCGCTTCGTAGTGATGACTGAGCTGCGGAACGACCTGAAAGTGGAAGGAAAGCAAGAGAAATCTTTGGGAACGCTGAAATTAAGGCCTTAACCTTCAATAAGGTCGGATGTGGTACGATGGCGAGGGCGATCAAAGAAGACAAAACACGCGAGAGATCACGTCGTTTGAGAGAGCACGCTGATCTCTACATCTCGCGAGGTGGGTGGGAAGCGTTGCAACGTGGGTCGATGGTTGCAGACCCGTAAAAATAGAGCCCAAAATGGAGTGATCTAGACAGGTAAGGACCTTAAAATGTTCCTCGCGGTATCCTTCCCAAAGTCGGGCTAATCTCGGGGTTTCCTTCTGAGGTTATTGACAAGTCCCATAAATATCCCGAAGCTAATGCCATAGCCTCATTATTTTAAGTGATTTCGAGAAAACTTCCCATCGGGGGTTTCTTTCATTGTTACGTATAATTAATCGGGAATCTAATTACGTTTAATGTGGTTTGGAAAATGTTGCATGAGTCTGAGTAGTTCCCCGGACGATGGCTCGAATACCGTATACATGAAGCACCTTTTTGGTGTTGGAAATAGAAAATGCTAAGATAGTTGTTGGAATCCTCGAATAACTAACACCATTGTATTTTTGTCGACTGATTTCTCCGGTTCATCTTCGTGCTGTTCAGTCAGCCGTGCGAGTCGTCGTGCCGTCGGTATGAATCCGATTGTTGTCTCTGCCGCGACAACTCGTCCAATCCACCAGTCGTGCGTGTAGCGCTGAAAGTACATCATATCGGGTTAAATCCAGGGTTTTCTAGGAGTAAGGAAAAGCCTATTAGGAATTTGACACCTACACCAAAAGCGCTGAAGCATTGTTCAGCTCTTTCACAAAGTCCGGTTCCTTTAACCCCTCCCGCATTTGGAGTTCTAGAGATCTCCGGTGCTCCACTTGGCTCTCGCGGCAGACATGGCGCTCCTAATTAGAGCGCTTTTTGTTTGCACTAATCATTCATTACATCATATTCATCGTCGTTCCCTCGCCCGGCTCGTCACCCAGCCAGAAAGAGCACTCTGCTCTAATGAGGACAGATGTTTGCTTGGCGCTCGCTAATCCACCACGTTGGCTTATCTGATTATTACATGGATTATTGTTTGAACGACGGTCACCAATACGCCACATTTAGTCACCTGAGCATATACTCAACTAGAGCCTACCGAAATGGGTCATTTTCCACAAAAACTGCACTACCGTATCCTTCGAAAGGCAGGAGAAGTTGAACAAACCATTGGGACCCAATGCCGCTAATACTTCACGCGAGAGGGAGTTCGTTCGCTGTGAGGTGTTAGAAATCGTATTGGGAGTCATTGGGGCACTAAGTTTTTGTAAGGATGCGGAGTGAGACCTAGTAAGGGACAGGTTCCCCTGGGGAAAACTAGGAAAAATTGCTGAAAATTCACATTTATTTCTACATTTTATTGAATTCCTTATGTAGTATTCAATACTACGGAACGGTCTTAGTCTGCGTTTTTTGCATGTTCATATGAATAGCTCTGAAATGGGAGCCAGACATGGAAGTTGCGGATCAATCTTCGTGCTCGAGCACTTCCGGGCTAGAGACGGCGGGGGGGGGGGGAGGTGTGAGTCTTCTATTATGCTTGAGGGCGAAGAGCCGTGTTTGGTTGAATGCGCTATACGAAGTTATTACGTTGAGATGCATGGTACTTGTTCTTTTTTGTATTTCTTTTATCTTTTTTCATCGTTATCGCACGATGTAGCACCCCTCTATTCTATCCTGAACCCACCCAACCCAAGTTATCCTCACTGCATCCCACAGCTAGAGCTCAATATTATTTTAAAATACACTTCGTTCGCAACCAAAAAGCTAGAGAATAAGGAATGGAAATGTAATCTTATACTTACTGCTGTCTTGAAAGCATGCGCTAGGGTTTCAATTCAGGCTAAAGAACGCGCTGACTCTTAACTCAGCGCCTTTAACACCTTTCTTAGCAATCTAATAGCGATATCATTAGTGTTGTTCGTTCTTACTCGCAATTGGTTACACTCATGACATTTCAACATTCCGATTGGATTGGTTCACCTTCCTTTCTGGGACGGCCACGCGTTCAGTTTATTCTCTGACCACGGAGGCTGCTATTCATCAAGCGCTCGGCCAACACAACGAATTTCTGAGGTTCTTAAAATTCTGCTCTACTCCATGTCTACCCGGATATTTCATGGCATGCCTGGTTGTAATGGAGAACTTGGAGTCTCGACAATCTTTCATGAGACTTAGAGGTGCAGGCCACGATCGAATCCGTGTGTAATTTTGATCGAAAATTAGACAAAAAAATGCGAAAAGGAGCGTTAGTAAGGGAGAGGTAAAAAAATCACTGAATTTTTTTATCGTGAGATCGTCCGTAGCCCACCGAAGCGCTCCAAGTAGAGGGATAACGCGACAGAGCACGTCGTGCGCAAAAGCGCCAGACGTCACGTCTCCTGCGATTGATAAGAATGGCAACGGTCTCCAGCGGTTGAAGGAATCGTTCCCGGAAATTCTTGCATTCTTTCCCAACATGAATGTGTCAGTTGTGATCACTGGAGACAACACACAAAGTTTCACGCATGAAGATTCGGTTTCCGAAGAGAAACAAACTCACGAAAACCCACTCTATGGACATCGAAGGGTGCGCGCCAAAGGCGGGGCATGGAAAGAAGTCCGCCTTGGGGCGGCCACGCATCAGGCGACGCATTGAAATGATCCGGTTAAAGCATTCAATTTGGAGAACAACAAAAGAAAACAAACCTAAAACAAACCTAAAACAAAACAATCGAAAGGATATGATGCACTAGAAGTGTTAGATGTTAGTGGAACAAGTCAAAGTTCCGTGAACTAAATTCCCGCCGCCAGCATTTGTGACAGATGTCCGGCGGGAATTGGAACGTGTAGCAGTCCTTCCGGTTTTTCGAATTGTTTACCAAGACAGAAGCAAATTTTTTTGTCCTTTAGCTCCCTCATCATCATCGACGCATGATACCTCTTAATCATATATAGGGTCCTCTAGCCCGTGATTTATGGGCTGAGAGGCAATGCATGATTCTCCCAGGGAAGGATTCCTTTGAGGGAAGACATTGGCTCCTGTGTCGCGCACTTTCAAGTGCGCGACAGTATTACGAGCCCTGCAATTTAGAGCTCTGTTAGCTCATTCATGAAGACAATTCTTCTACTTACCGTAATCCGTGCTTTTATTTTCTCAGAATAGGGTAAGGACTCGACCTTTTAAGGAACGCTACTGAGGTAACAATGAAGTGTATGTGTTTAAGTTTTCAAATGAGAAAGTGAACAATATTGAATTACCTCTTGTAAATGTGGAGAAACAGCTCCTTTTTTGAACGAGATTGTCTTCTTCTGAATTGGCGACTCATCCTCTAATGCTCCATCGTACGCAGCGTTTGCTCTGACAGCAAAGGCCACCTTCAGCTTCTGAAATAGAGTTTTCAGATTATCTGATGAAGTTTCATGAATATGAGGCACAGCTCAGTTGGACTGTAAACTGGAATACGGTATTTGTAGACATAATCCTGAAAATATTCGTTCTTCCCCGGAATAGAGCGCTAAAATGGTCGAGAATTTTCCTTTGGAATGGAACTTGTCCTAATTGTCGAAATTCAAACCATGGTTCATTTCGCTCTGACTTTACTGTGGGCAGCGTACAGTGATTGCTTTCACTCCAGGGTCAACAATTTAGTTAGAAAAAATTTGAGGCCAGTGTAACCCCTCCTCAGGGGCCCTTCTGAGGGTCTCTTCGTCGGGCTTTCCTGCGTTTATCCCAGAGTAACTCTAAGCGGTCTATCCCTTCTCCCAAAAATCTGTCAAACTGGCGGCCGCTATTTCACTGATAAAGTGGCTAAAAATTGTGAGCTGGAAACGAAGCCAAATTTTCACCATGTCCAGTAGAACACGAATACAGGGCAACTTTAGAAAGGTCCCTGCCTACCACTTGGCCTCTGTGTACTATGCATTATACTAAATGCATGGTTACAGTAACTGTAGAAACTTATGAATTCAAATTTATTCTGGATATCCTTCCCAATCCTGATGGTTTCTAGAGAGAGCTGTGAGAGCTGATATGGTTTTCGAGTCACACTCTGATAACTGTTTCCATGCGCAATCTGACCCCCCGTCCATATCCCCTACGTCGATGGTTCGAACGCAATCGTGCGTGCTACTAATCCCATACACCCCGAACGTGTCTTCCGTCACCGTCTTTACATCTAACCCATCAGGGTCAAACTATTTGTTCATAAAGGAACGGATGTGTGGCCGATTTCCTGTCGTCTCGGCGATCTACGCCAACAATGGCATCGCGTGCTAATTCGACGACACCTGTGCCGAGTTGAGCCGTTCCTCTACCGTACTCGGGCAAACACACGAAACACGCAAAGCCTCACACAAAACAATGGTGTATCACGTATATATCGAGAAAAAATGGCAGGTCATCGGCTTGCTTCAAATGCCCAGATGCTTACAAATTTCATAGTCGCACTACTTTGGCCCCAGTGCGATAGGATGAACTGAGGACCATCTCAGCCCTCATCGTTGGAGATCTCGACGAGCAGAACGCCTATTTTCAATTTATCAAAAAATCTATTTAATCACTTTTCGAACCTAGCGAGTCTTAGCGTGTGAGCGTGATAAAAGGTCTGGGTCCTCAAGACAGCTCCACTCAAAGATGAGTACATACACTGCGTCCCATAATTATACGTCCACCTAAGAATTTCCCAAAATCTCAGAAATACAGATGTTTCGAAAAAAGTCTCCTATGTGACAATGTATCGCATATAAATACGCAATTGCCTATGAACATCAATTTTCTATTTGAGATCACAGGAATTTTTCCCAATAATTTTTGTGTAAAAGGCCACTCAGCCGACGTCCCAAAATTATACGTCCACCTCACGTTTATCGATTACTTTTCACTTCTGTTCCACGAAACTTTTTCATTGTGGTAACACTTCACTTCTTAAGAGAACAGCATAATAAAGACTGCTGTTGGATTTTGAGAAAGGGAAAATGTCGCAAAAACTGTTGAACAACGGAACCGCACCAGATTTGGTCCAGATTCACGCCAAGCTTGAGAATTTTCAGGGGTTTCACATGATATGGAGCTTAGAAGAGCTCTAAAAGTCTCTCATTACTTTTCGATGGAAACAAAGGCGTGTTACAGAAATAACATCCATTTTCATCCAACGGTGCTCTGTCATCGAATCTTCTTGAGAACTTTATGCCTCAACAGACTTTTGTTTCATGCATGTAAAGGAATCCCAAGATCGTTCTTGATCGGAAAATGTGAAAGACGTTCATTTGTGGCAAGGAATCGTGACGAAAACTGGGCTGATTTTTGCATGAAGGTGCAGCCGAGCCGACTGGAGCAGGGTCCTTTTTTCCTTGCTATGCATGAGTGTTTGTCTGTCTTTCTTTTCAACATTTTCTTTCTTTTAGTAGTGCTCCTCTAAGAAAAAAGCCATTAAGGGAAAGGTAGACGTGAGAAGAAACAAACAAATGCCAAAACATATCGGGCAGAAGCGAACCTTACTTCAGTCGGCTGGGCTGCACCTTCATGCAAAAATCAGCCCAGTTTTCGCCACGATTCCTTGCCACAAATGAACGTCTTTCACATTTTCCGATCAAGAACGATCTTGGGATTCCTTTACATGCATGAAACAAAAGTCTGTTGAGGCATAAAGTTCTCAAGAAGATTCGATGACAGAGCACCGTTGGATGAAAATGGATGTTATTTCTGTAACACGGCCTTTGTTTCCATCGAAAAGTAATGAGAGACTTTTAGAGCTCTTCTAAACTCCATATCATGTGAAACCCCTGAAAAAATTCTCAAGCTTGGCGTGAATCTGGACCAAATCTGGTGCGGTTCCGTTGTTCAACAGTTTTTGCGACATTTTCCCTTTCTCAAAATCCAACAGCAGTCTTTATTATGCTGTTCTCTTAAGAAGTGAAGTGTTACCACAATGAAAAAGTTTCGTGGAACAGAAGTGAAAAGTAATCGATAAACGTGAGGTGGACGTATAATTTTGGGACGTCGGCTGAGTGGCCTTTTACACAAAAATTATTGGGAAAAATTCCTGTGATCTCAAATAGAAAATTGATGTTCATAGGCAATTGCGTATTTATATGCGATACATTGTCACATAGGAGACTTTTTTCGTAACATCTGTATTTCTGAGATTTTGGGAAATTCTTAGGTGGACGTATAATTATGGGACGCAGTGTACTTAATATATACATTACTCACATTGAAGACATTCTTTCCGAACCTACTGCGCAATCTTTAGAAAGTCTGGAAAGTTTTCATGTGGAAATCAAGTCTATGCTTATAGTTGGGGGCCGATAGATGCTAAAATAGGCGGTCTCATCTTAGAAGTTTGATCTGCTTCATTCTGCCAGTTTCTTGAATACGCAGAGCGGATTTTAGGTTTTAAGGCTAAGACTAGGAGTCGAACAAGCAATAGTGCAATATTAGATCGCATATCAAGCATTAAGGACTGTACCATCACTGCTAAAAGAGTGGCTCGTGACGGCCGTGTACACTTGCGAATCGCGCGATTCACTACTAGCGATTCGCGCGATTCGCTACGTCCGCGTCGCGTTGCGGTATCCAGCCAATTGAGTGATTCACGTGGACGCGACGCGACCGCAGACGCTAGCGAATTGCGCGATTTGCAAAGTCTGACATCGGATGACAAACGGGTGCCACCACGACAGCGGAATGGCGCTACAAAGGATAGATATGTGAGTAGCAGCAGTAGCGGTAAAAAGTCATTGGCTGCTTAGGCCAAACGTGGAGCTCTGTTAGGTGCATGGAAGAACGATGAAGGATAAAATATTCAGCGCCAATTTATCCTTCCAAGATACGCCATACATAACACGTCTATTCAGAGTCGTAGTGGCATCTTGATTATCATTTAGCCTGAGTAGGTGCTTGTGAGCCAAAATAAACAATAGTACCCTCAAAAGCTTCTGTTGGATTCATGCACGGATTGACTGACCCCAAAACTAAGAGTGAATGGTTGGCAAGCTAAAGTCTATCCAGATAGTAACTCTGAGACTCGACATGCTAAGCCGGGCCATTTGTCGACTACACCACTTCCGCTAGGGCACAAGGAGACAAAGATGAGGATCTAATAATTATTGTTAGTAAAACTGGTAACTACTCACCCAGCCCTACTCAATCGATTAGTGAATTACAGAATAAAGGCTAGAGGCTCCCAAATATCCTTCTATCACAGGCTTTCAAGTGTTATTTTGTTTGATTCATTTTCTTCGTGATTTTTCAGGTGTTCATGATGCATCCATTAACGCTCAAACAAACGCTGAAGCACTTAAGGCCACACCTTCTGGTCTTTACCTAGCTGTAATTATGTCAATTAAGGCGCACTATCATCACGAATGCACCTGTGCAATCATTCATGCATCATGTTGAGATCAAAGTAACCCGACAAGAGGGTTCAAACATCACCTCGTAATACAACACTATGCAAATCGTACCGATCAACACCCCGGATTGACATCTTTGGAAGCTTGCCGCCGCCTCGTTTGGTACGAAGAAACCCGAGACGGGGTCGAGTTTCGTTTTGAACTTCATTGACAGCAGGTTTAAGACGACCTGATAGTATCGTCCTTGGGGTCTCGTGGTTGTCGCGGTCGTTGCGATCGGCTCGTCAAATTTATTGAAACTGCTGACAGATGAGGTGTGGCATGTTTTCATAGAAAGCCCGTTATCGGCATTCAAATCCCATTCCGTCCAAAAGATACGTATTGATCGAAGATGGTGATAGCTCAGCTTTGCCAATTTGTGACGGATGGCATCGAGCCCATTTGGTTCAGCCATACAGACCGATTACGATCGCCTAATGAGTTTAAACAATAGCTAGTAGTAAACTGGACATAGAGATGAGATGGCAATAGCAATAGCTAGCGCAAATTGCCCACTATTGGGTTACGAAACCACGAAAAAAATGGCCGCAGTGGGCCAGACGGGACCCAGTGATTAATGTGATTCACCACAGCGGCACGAAGATTCTGCAAAGCTCGCTGATATTCTCGTTCTCGTCGTAGAGCTTGACTTTTCTTGGCGTCATGGACGAGGCGAAGACCTTGCTGAAAATTGTGATTCTTCAGTTGAAAGGTGACCCCTTGGGTCGTAAAGTGGCCAAAACTACCTCTTTAGGTGACTCCTTGTAGGCGTAGAGGAAATGTTGCAGACTCTCTCGAGCTATCGTATGCATCCCTGAAAGTCAGAAGCAGCATGTTCTCGATGGCAAGAGCGAACGTCATGGAAGAGTTCATGATGTCAATCTATCTTCGCCTACCTCTTCGCCTCGTTCTCGTTCTCACTTAGCTGATCCTTAGGGATTTAGCCGATGCGCTGAGGGGCATTGATCGGCCGAGGAAGCGGCGTCGGGTCGAGAGAGAAGTTCTCGTCTTCTTCTTCCTTCACTTGTCACAGCAACGACGAACGGACGATGGACTTCTGATGACTGCAGCACCTGGACGTCTGCGGCCAACTAGCCAGCGTTACTCTTGTTCCCAGCCTCGTTTTGATTGCATTTCGTCGCCCAATTTGTCGAATTCAATTGTCTTTATGCCTACCGGATCTTGTCAATGCAGTTTTCTGCTTGGATAGCCAGCCTCGGGAATTTCCTAATAGTCACCTTGGAGGAAATCGTTAGTTCTCGCAGAAGAGTCCCCCTTACTCCCCCCAATGGCTTAGGGTGTTGTTGCGCTGGTGGGTTGGGTTATGAACAAGTAAAAACCTCAATTCTCTATTTTGAAGTCTTTGAGATATCACTGGAGTGGGTGGTAGATGTTAATGGCATACAATCGGATAGACTCTTGACAAAATTCATAACTTAACCCTGCCCGTTTTGAGCGCTTCAAAGGCTATGTAAGTTTCTCCCTCACCCTGCTCTGTTTCCCATCAAAATTGAGCATGTCTTCGAACTCATTAAGATACTGTAACCTTAATTTGCTCGTCATGTCTGTTGACTGCGCTGGGTGGGGGGGGTGGGCTCTTCATATTCCAATAAAGACTTTAAGGTAGCTGTGTCGGTCTGAACATGCCGTTCTCCTGCATGGCCTGACCCTATTAAACAGGCTGACCCACCCCCAACTCCTTACAATGTGGCCGGCCCTTAATCTTGCCCATGGTGTTTCATTCAAGCCCTCTTCACGTTGCACCAACAAAGCATCCATCATCAAGGCGACAGGGTCAGTCCTGCGACATCGAACGCCGCCCCGCCGGAGCCCGCCCGAGCACGCGCGGCGTCTGAGGCGCGCAGAATACGGTGTTATCAAAACAGACTCATATTGTGGGTTGTTTTGGCAATGGGACAACTGTCCATCTCAAGTACTGCCCTGCATTTAGGTACTGCAGACAAGGCCTTGAGTAAGGAGGCTACGCCAGGAAGCTTAGTCTTTTTTTTTGTTTTGCCTGTATTGGGATGACTTATTCGCTCTTTTGTGGCCACTGCTTCCAAGAAGAGGGACTGAGGTGGTGAGGTTTCGGAACCATCGGGGTCGGTTTATTCGTGCCCTACTTGTCTAGAAGGAGAAAAATAAGAGCTGACCCGCAAGTCATTGTAGAGTTCACATCATTCTGAAGTAATGCAATTATTCTGAATGAAGGTAAGATGCGTGTCGCATTCTGCTAAGCAGATTCTTCACATACAGTTCTTCCATGTCAACTATCTTTACTCATCTTCGTTAGATTAAAAAGACTAAGACACGATGTTATTCATCTCTTTTTGGGACATTATTAAATTTATTAAGGAAGTGCGCCATCGTAATTCGACTGCCCATAAAAAATTAGCATGTCTAATGCGATTTGTCCTACCCCGATTCCGCGTAAATCGCCCAAGTAGTGTTTCTATCTTCTGAGAAAGCCAACCCAGCCCTTCCCGGAGTAGTACAAATTGGATGGTGTGAGCGAAATCCGAATCCAAATCCGGGCCGGGCATATCAAGAAACCACGGCGCTCTAAGCGCCTACACCACACCCCCACAGTAAGAGGCGTACAAGGAAAGCATCCGCTGTTGTTAACAATCCTTTTGGACCGCCGGCCGCATTCTCCTTTCACTACGTTCATTCGTAAGTGGCGCGACGATTTCTGGCCTTTACAATGAATCGCTGGGCCAGCAGCTGACCATGTCGCACTGGCTTTTATCCTCCCGGACAAACTGGTACCAATTGACACCGACCCCACTGGGAAGTAAGGTCTTGATTGCCCTGACGAAGTCCCCGGCCGTGCTGCGCGGTTAAGCGTGTCACTTGCCTCCACATCACCAGCCACCCCACCATCCTTCTCTTCCCCACAAAAATCATAACCAGTGAACACGTCAGTCTATTGTCGTGTCAGGAAGCGTCAAAAGGACAGTATTGACAAGGCTCACCTCAGCCAAAAACTTGTAATTACCGTTTCTCCAAAACTTACCTCTGATTCCAGCGGTGATAATTTTAGCTGCAATGCTGGGGCGCCTATCTACTGTACTCCTTGAGTGTGAAGTCCATCAGTGAGCATACATAGGTGGAAAGCCGAAAACTTGGCGATGGGCCAATAGCTGAAATTCTGTGGTCACCGATTGGAGGCATGCTGGCCGGCTAGGTCATCTCGCTATGTCTCTTGCAAAATGGCAACTCCCAATTGGGACAGCGAATCACTCATGTTCAACGGTTTTTTCGCTGCTTTGAAGAGGCTCTTAAGCCAGTGACTCTTTCAACTTCTGGCACTTTCACTAGTTCTCCTGTCATTTCATGCCGCCTTTAGTCCGTCATGATGTTCCCCATTTCCATGTGACAAAGGCATTTCAAATTTCTCTCCCGGGCAAACCATCACTTACTGGAAACAATAACAATTGGGATAGGTGGTAATGGTTGGCAGTAATGAGCAGTTACCCCTTTAGTAACCAATTTGACCCCGGCTATTCATGTACTTCTACAACAACCCATTGGTATTTCAAAGGATGCCAATAGATTTTCCTTGAATAGTGACCTGAATTTCCATTGGCCCCTCCATAAGCGAACCTGCCACGGTCAATACAGCCAAAGATGACCATGTCATCATGCCCGGAAACAATACGGCTTTTGTCATTACGACATTGGCATGTCGTTCGTCATTGTCACATTGTCTGACCCCTCAATGACCGTATTCCTCTCGATTCTTTCTTTCCAGCTTCTCCTTCCCTCTTTGTGCACAAATCTATTAACTACACTACCTACCTTCTATTTACTTTATTCATCGGTGTTGTTGTTGGGAAATGCATGTAGATACCAGCACATTGGAATCGACGCACTTCCCAGAAAATTCCCTGCATTAACTACAGATGAGGATCATTATGGACCAGACGAAAATCTCAGTCAGGTTCACTTGTTAGGATGGCGTTGGAGTGATGGGAGGCTGCCGGAAGTGGAAGCTAATTACGACTGACCGGGGTATTAATCCGTTCGATATCTCGTAGCAACCGCTCGATGCCGCAGTAGTTTACTTGGTTCGAAACTTATATGAAGTATGGACATGATTTTATAACGATTGGGACCTGGTTCTATTGAAGCAAACCGCTTCAGATGCACTCTGTTGCTGATGGAATAGAAAGTGCGTGGGCGCGTCCAAGACGAATTGTGGACAGCAGCGTCTGTTGATAAAAAGGCCAGCAGCAGTATCACGATTGAAAGCGAATAACGTGATAAAGCCATGAATTTGAAAATTAATTAAAGAGGATAAAGCATTTGCCGTTGATCAATCCCTTTTTGGATGCGGCACGCATTTACTTCCATTTGTACATTTGCGTAGTGGCGTTTGAATGCGATGTGGCCTATACAATGACTTGCGGGGGCCAGCCGATGTACAAGTCAGTGTTTTTCTCCAGAGAGGTATGTGGCATTAACGACCGGGGGAGGGTTGTAAGGTTGGCAGTGGCACGGCATCAGACCGATTTGTCCCCGACCGCTGCGTAGTAAGCGTGCAGCTCCCGGACAGCACTTCACAATAATACAACGATGAATTGCTTAGGGGGAACTCCATTTTCTGTGTCTCTGCGTTGGGACTCGTAGGCATAACTTGATCGCAGTCAATGACCTAGTTTTTATTAGGTGATTACCCGTTATAGGGGCGTGCGCTCCGAAACCGGGTGTTAGGCATTGAAGGCACTTGGAGGGGACTAACGTATCCGCATAACGGGTTAGACGGAGCGGATTTGACTTGAATAGAATGACGCAGGATTATGAGACACCCATGTAACACTGAGTGATCCAGTGGGATTGTGGCGAGCCAGATTTGGATCTCCCACGGCGCTTGTGGCATGGGGCACTTGCCCAATACTCTCGATTAATGTATACATATTGCATACAGTTGCAACGCAACGGGGTTTGTGCATAAGATTGATGACGTTTTATTCATATAGTTGAACGATTAATCGAAGGGGCATCATATTATTTGTTTAGACGAGGCGATAAGATTTGGCAGCATCGAAGGAACTTTTTATAATTGTTAGGGATCAAAATAAATAGTGTTAGGGCACAGGATAAGTGATTAGAGGTGGGGGTGGTGGCGAACCTAGCTTGGTTAGATGAGGTCATTAGATTTCTCAGAGCCTAGGATCGCGTATATATCTGCAATGCTTCTTTCTGTCTTTTACAGTTCCATTGCCTGCCAGCGCCGTCTTCAATGTCCGTTTAGCGCTTGCTGTTGTTCATAGGCTACCGTACTTATAATTGTCAGCTCTGGTCTTCCTCTATGAGGTCATTTGAGTCCAGCTGCCGACGAAAATCTGAACTTTGCTGCTGCCAGTCTGTTTGCGATTTCACTCGCGTTTTGTTTACCGATGATGGAATGATATGACTTCTTCATGATGAATATTATTCAGTACCCTTTCTTCTTCGTGGTCCATCGCGACACTGTTTTCCTTGGTGTCTCTACTTTTCTAAAAGCTCATCTTTGGTAGAAGAAGATTTGCATCTATTCAGTCCTATGGTGAAGTGTCGGAAGAAGTAATTACTGTTACTCTTCGATAGAAGTTTAAAATAGTGATTGATTCCGTGTTTTTGCTTGGTTTCCGGCTATTGCCATTTGGATATACTGGTTACATTACTCTCAGAGATCCATCTATTAATACTTGCCATTTTGAAAGAATTCATTCAGCTACTAGAACTTTAGCGGTTAGTTTTTTGCAAACAGCTTCGGCTGTCGCAACTGCTTTCAGTCGTTTCTAACAGGTAAGGTTGCTAGAAAAGC